TGGGGATGCCAGGCTCCCCCGTGGGTCTCCATGGGCTGTGGGGCCAGCGCAGGGCAGCAGTGGGCAGTGCAGCAGCCGTGCAGGCGCACACTGCACACTGCAAGCAGCACTTGCACAGCGCTGTAAACCACGAGCAACACTTACACGGAGCCGCAAACCATGAGCAGCACTTACAAAGAGCAGCACTTACAAAGCACTGCACACCACGAGCAGCCCTTACAAAGCACTATAAACCAGGAGCAGCACTTACACAGCACTGCACACCTCGAGCAGCAGTTACACAGCACTGCACACTATGAGCAGCACTTACACAGTGCCATAAGCCATTAGAAAGCCTTACCCAGCACTGCACACGCTGAGCAGCACTTACAAAGCACTATAAACCACGAGTAGCACTTACAAAGCACTGTAAACCATGACCAGCACTTACAAAGCACTGCACACTATGAGCAGCACTTACAAAGCCATGTAAACCATGAGCAGCCCTTACAAAGCCCTGCACACCACGAGAGCCATGGTTTATGGCTCTTTCTAAGTGCTGCTCATAGTGTGCAGCCCTTACACAGCACTGCACACTATGAGCAGCACTTAGAAAGAGCAGCACTTACAAACCACCGTAAACCATGAGCAGCACTTACGAAGCGCCATAAACCATGAGCAGCACTTACAAAGCCCTGCACACCTCGAGCAGCACTTATAAAGCACTGCACACCTCAAGCAGCACTTACACAGCGCCGTAAACCATGACCAGCACTTACAAAGCACTGCACACCATGAGCAGCCTTTACATAGCACTGCACACTATGAGCAGCACTTACACAGCACTGCACACCTCCAGCAGCCCTTACAAAGTGCCATAAACCATTACAAAGCCTTACAAAGCACGGCACACCACGAGCAGCACTTACAAAGTGCTGTAAACCATGAGTAGCATTTACACAGCACTGCACACCCTGAGCAGCCCTTACACAGCACTGCTCACTATGAGCAGCACTTACAAAGCGCCGTAAACCATTACAAAGCCTTACACAGCACTGCACACCCTGAGCAGCACTTACAAAGCGCTGTAAACCATGAGTAGCATTTACACAGCACTACACACCCTGAACAGCACTTACAAAGCGTGTCTCCCTGCCGGCCAGGTGAGGGGCCCGGGGGGCTGTGGGCACCTGTGGGGAGGGGCAGCAGCACGGAGAGAATGGGAGAGAAAAGGAGAGACTGGGTTTTGGGTTAGTCAGGGGAGAGGAGCCCAAGGGGAGCCCCCTGCCCTGCCTGGCACCCCCAGACCCAGCACAGACACCTCCTGCCTCCCCCAGACCTGTGCAGAGCTCAGGCCAGGCAGGACCCTCACAGTGCCTACTCAACCCTCACAGTGCCTACTCAAACCTTACAATGCCTACTCGACCCTCACAGTGCCTACTCAACCCTCACAGTGCCTACTCACCCCTCAACAGCGCCTACTCAACCCTCACAGTGCCTACTCAACCCTCACAATGCCTACTCAAACCTTACAATGCCTACTCGACCCTCACAGTGCCTACTCAACCCTCACAGTGCCTACTCAACCCTTACAATGACTGCTCGGGACAAAGGATTCAATTTCCCTCAAGGAATTCTCTGAAATCAGCCAGTCAATTCTGGCTGGAGTACAAGATGCTGAAATCAAAGAATTAACATTATTCTCTCAATTAATTAATTAACTAACATAATTCTCTGAAATCGGCCGGTCAATTCTGACTGGGGTACGAGACATTGAAACCAAAGAATTGACATTGTTCTCTGAATTAATTAATTAATTAACATAATTCTCTGAAATCAGCCAGTCAATTCTGCCTGGACTACAAGATGTTGAAATCAAAGAATTAACATTGAAAAATAGATGGGAGACAGAGAGTAAGTAAGAGACAAAATTCCTCAGAACTTCTGCTCTGCAGAAGTCAAGACTCCTGAATCCCTGAAACAGGAGAGATCTGCAACTGCTCAGCCTGGAGAAGACCTTGGAGCCCCTTCCACTGCCCTAAAGGGTTCCAGGAGAGCTGGGGAGGGACCCTGGGCAAGGGCCTGGAAGGACAGGACAGGGGGGAATGGCTTCCCACTGAAGGAGGCAGGGCTGGATGAGGTTTTGGGAAGAAATGATTTCATTCAAGGGTGGGCAGGCCCTGGCACAGGTGCCCAGAGCCCCTGGATCCCTGGCAGTGCCCAAGGCCAGGCAGGACAGGGCTGGAGCAGCCTGGGATAGTGGAAGGTGTCCCTGCCCATGACAGGGGGCTGGAATGAAATTGTCCTGAAGGTCCCTTCCCACCCAAACCATCCTGGGCATCTGTGAAAATTATCTCAAAGAAATAAAGAGAATTGGCACTGGTGATAAAAGGAAAACTTAGAAAAACCACAGCAGCTGTCAGAAATGTAAACAGGGAAACACAGCTGGAACAAAATGCATTGGAACAGTTCAGCTGTGACACCGCCTTCCAATGGTGCTGGGTTCCTGCTGAGCACTCAATTGAAATGATCCACGACTGAGGGAGATCAGGACAGCTGAGAGGGAACAGAGGCTGCGCCCGAGGGCTGCTCCTGCAGCTCAGCCTGCCCCAGCAGCCACCTCACCTGTGAGCTCCGGCCCCCTCCAGAGCTCCTGCCCAGCCCCAGGAGCTGAAATGGAGCAGGGAAGTGCCACAGCTGGGGGAGAACAGCTGGAGAACAGCTGGACTCCAAAAGGAACCAACAGACCCAAAAGGACAGAGAACAGAGAACAAAGAACAAGTGGCAATTCACTCCAGCCCCAGTATAAACCCAGTAATGGGCAATGACTGCAAAGGGAAAATCTAAAAATCTCTTTAAATTCATTTAACTTTCAAAGGCTCAACTGAGCTGTAGCACCTCATGTCGTGGGATGGACAGAGGGATCAAAGATATTGAAAAGTTCAGAGATAAATAAGGAATATGAATGTCAAGGGATAAAAGGTAATATTTATATGAATTATTTATATAGACAAAAATCATCAGATAAATAAGGAATACGAATGTCAAGGGATAAGAAGTAATGTTTATAAAGAAAAAATCATCAGAGGTTGTGACAGTGCTCGCAGAAGTCTAAAAATAAAAAAACCCCCAAAAATAGAACTCTATGTTTCAAAAAGTTTAATTTATTATTTTATAATATATATTATACTATATATATTATATAGTATATAATATAAATATATTAATATATATTTATGATGTATATTATACTAAAACTATACTAAAAAAAATCATCATAAAACTGACTAAAAATAATAAAAAAAAAGAATAACAAAAACCTGTGACTCGGACAAAGAGTTTGAGCCAGCTGACTGTGACTGACTATTAATTAAAAACAACTACATAAAACCAATCACAGATATACTTGTTACATTCCACAACAACAAAAAATTACTGTTTACATTTTATTCCCGAAGCCTCTCAGCTTCTCAAAGAGAAAAATCCTAAAAAAAAAGGATTGTTCAAAAAGTATCATAACTACAAGAAGCTACAAAAGCAAAGATTCTTCCCATTGCAGAGGGAAAGCCTCAGGCAAGGAGCTGCA